GTCATAATTTGAATATAAATATACATGTTGCAAGGTCCCGTTTTCGCGGTTCCTAGAGCCTAGGTCCCAAGTGTTTAAACACGGGAACTAGGCTCTCAATTCCTTTTTCGCGTATTCCTTAAGCCTAGGTCCCAAGTGTTTCAACACGGCCACTAGGCTCTCAATTCCTTTTTCGCGTATTCCTTAAGCCTAGGTCCCAAGTGTTTAAACACGGGAACTCGGCTCTCAATTCCTTTTTCGCGTATTCCTTAAACCTAGGTCCCAAGTGTTTAAACACGGCCACTAGGCTCTCAATTCCTTTTTCGCGCATTCCTAGAGGCTAGGTCTCAAGTGTTTAAACACGGGCACTAGACTCTCAATTCCCTTTTCGCGTTGTCCTAGTGGCTCGGCCCCATGTGTTTAACCAACCAACCAACCAACCAACCAACCAACTAACCAACCATTACATGCATGTTTCGGTCCTTTGTGTTTAATACGGGTCCAAGATCTCATTTTTTTCGTGTGTAATAAGTCAATCAATCAATCAATCAATCAATCAATCAATCAATCAATCAATCAATCAATCATGTTTCGGAGGGGAAAGACCGTTAAGAATTGTTTTTAAAACAATTGATTTATATTTTTATTCTGTTTTTCGTTTGATATTTCACAAAGGACACGGAGATTCAAAGTTGTATGAAGTCATAAAACATTTGTCAATTGGCCATCGCCATGATTGATGATCATTTTAACATTTGTCGATAATGATACAGACCCGTTCCTTAACAACTCGAAACTGGACGATGCTTCGAGCAACACGTCTTCTTGTTTGCATTAAAATAACAGAGTTTTCTGTCCTTTTTACCATTTAAATGTACATTTTTTTTATTCCGAATTTGATGTGATGAAAAACGTTACCTGATGATAGCGTTTCTTTGTTTACATTGCAAATGGCGTCACAATTTAAACTCCCTAACAATAGGACCAATATCGGAAACATTTTCGTATTTCCGTTTATTTTCCAACAGATTCTGAAGTTAAAATATTCCTTGAGTTCTCTGATTTTCTATTGGAAAATTTACCGCTGATCAATCAGGCAGATGTTTGCATCTGTACAAAGATCCGTAATAAGCAGATAGTAATCATAAAAAGTCTGATGGATAACTGGATACCATAAGAAAAAGTCGACTTCGTATGTTCTGTTATCCGAACATACCATTTTTTTTTTTGAAACCAGTGATCTCATTTTTTTGTGTATAATCTTCAGGAAAATTAACTTAAAATCGTTCTTGATATTTTATTTAATGTGTTTTCGAAAAAGAAGGCGAATAATGGACAAAATGCGCAGAATAAATGTCAAAACCAAAAACAATAGAGAAATAAAGCAAAAAAGTTAAAATAGAGAATAATGGGCACTCAAATATAAAGAATAGAGAATAAAGGGGCACTTAATTATAAAGAATAGAGAATAGTGGCAAAAGATATAAAGATCACTCAAAAATGACCTAAAAATAAAAAGAATACAGAAATGAGGGACCCATCAAGACCCTCAAAGATTGGTAATACAAAATGTACAATAAAAATACACCATAACCAGTTGCAAACCCATGCATCCGAAAGATATACATTTATGATGTATTATGATTTATACAACCTTCGATCAGAGCTTAAAGATACTTTCATGACCACTGAATCTGTTAGGGTTTTTCTGCTCTATGTATATATGGAAACAGAAACACGTATGCCATTTTCTATACTGTTTTAGAGTGGGACGTTTCTCAGATGTTTATAAAAATAAGGAGATGTGGTATTGATCGCCAATGAGATAATTATCCACCAAAATTCAAACGACAACAATTACAGGCGATCGTACAGTCTTTAACAATGAGAAAAACCCATACCGTATAGTCGGCCTGACATGTTTGTTTGTTTTTTTTTCTTTTTTGGCAGTGGTAATTTAACTTTTGTCTGTACGTTTTTAGAAGATATTAACTGTTATCAGCTATTCGTGACATTGAATAGACTTTTTGTCGCCTTTTAAGTACTTGGCAGAAATCAACAAAGTGGAATTCTTACTTGAACTCTTCATGACATTTTCTGGAGGTTAACAATCTGTTTTAGTACAGAACTTCACTTTCTCGTCCACTTGCCTGATATCGAACTTACTATATGTACCTGCTTGTCAAGTCTTTTCAAGGTCAATAAAACTATACTTTGATTTTACTTTGGGCTATGTATTGATAAGTTAAGATCCTTTTAACTGACTTTTATAGTTTTTCTTTTCCAGCTAACATATGTTTAACCCCGCCAAGTTCTGTATGTGCCTGTCCCAAATCAGGAGTCCGTTATTTTCAGTGGTTGTTTGTTGTTGTATGTAATGGTTGTTTTTCCTTTATTGTTTTGTACATGCATCAGGCTGTTAGTTTTTCTAGTTTGAATTGTTTTACATTAATTTGTCATTTCTGGGCTCTTATTAGCTTTCTATGCGGTATTGGATTTTCTCATTGTTGAAGGCATATGATGACCTATAGCTGTTAACTTTTATGTCATTACGTCATTTAGTCTCTGCTCTTGCATACACATCTTCTTATTTGTATATTATATTCATTGAAGAAAAAAAAATTGACTGTCGGACTAAATAAAATGCACAGAACTGTTCAAGTTTTAATTAGTTGTAGCCCTTAAGCTTCAATAATGTTATTTTCTATTGTATTGGTGGTAGAGTGTCTGACATGTCCGGTATCCAGATTCAATATAGTACCGCATATCACCTTCCACATGTTCCATGTAACCTGAGATTACTGTATCAGTGGTTATACGAATCTCAGATGTAACCATTCAGTTTGAGAATTTACCATACAGCTAGGTTGATTTTGCAAGTGGTTGTGCACATAGCATAACTCATAATTGTTGTACATAAGGGATCTGATGCACAGTAATCTGCAATGGAGCTAGATACATGTCGTACAACAGGTATCATTCGTGCCGTGTGTAATATGCAGATCTTTTCCAGTAGTTCGCAGGTACGTGGTTTAGTCAGTAATTATGACGTAACCGTAATAAGACCTATCCGTGTAACCCTTTCATTTTTTGTTTGTTTGATAACAGTTTATGGTTTTTGCAATCAATCTCTCGATCAAAATATTATACCTCTATAATTGAATATGTAATATATGTTTTTTAAGGTTCGCTATAAATGCATCATATACTTTGTAATTTTGTAAATGGCTAGCTTTTACCGAGACTTCCAAAGAATTTGAAAGGTATTAACTAATGCATGATGACACATACCTCTGTATAAATAAAAGGCATGATATATTGTAACATTTTAATAGAATTTCAATTCCACCAATATCATCAATCGATAAAGATATCAATTTACATATGCATTATAACGATTATTAATAAAGTGAAAATAGTTTAAATATACATTTTATATTATTATTATTATTTTGTCTTTTTCACACCATGAAATGTGTATTGCCAGGTTCTATAATTATAAATTAACCTCGGTTATAGTGTGATCAGCGTATCTAATGAACAGCTTCTTCTACAGTGATGCCCGGATGCTGTATCTAACGAGACGAATGAATCCCTGCTGAGATGTATAATACTTCTAACAATATGTAATATATATTTCTGTGTTTAGTATATAAATCATGTTTTTTTTTGTTTTTTTTTATTATATTCAGTTACATTCTCACCAGAATTATGCTGGGAATTGCATACAGAAATGTTTCTATATATAAATCTGCGGTTAAATGGATATCGAGGCCCCTCATTGGGGTGTCCAAGTAATCACAAAAGCACAATTTTTTGCCAATATAATCATATAATCATTAATGATTTTTTAAACAAGATAATCAAATAATAAAAAATACAGTCCTAGATTATCAAATAATGAAACAATCATGAAATATTTTGTCTAGTAATCAAATAATCACTGTAAAAATGGCCAAGTAATCACATAATCAAAAACCCCATGCGAAGGCTCGATATCGTAAAGTATCCTACAGGTTTTCTGACATTGTCCCCTTTCACAGGTAACACCTGCCTCATATTATCCAAACACAAACAAAATATGTTTCATTTTCATTAAATAGACTTTGAGAAGATTTATCATTAATTTGAGGATATTTGTGTCTGTCATAATTACAAATTCACTAACAATAAATGGTCATCTTTTTTTTCAGACAGCTTATGCTGATTTCGAAGTTCTTTTAGACCAGTACGTTAAGTCTTTTATCAGTTGATACATGATTTTGTAATAAATGAATATATAATAGAGGCAAAAGTAGTATACTGTTCAAAACTAGAAATTCTAAGGGTTCGATATACAAACCGAGATGCAAAAGAAATCGCTTTAATTCTAAATGGAGCGAAAACAAAAACAGTTTTACAACCACAAATACCAATTACAGAGAACTCGCAGTTACTAAAAAATTACAGCTAAACCCCTAATTCAACTAAACATTTGTTTAATGGAGAGTATGTACAGAAGATACGGTAAAATGATATTGCACAGACAAAAACGTATTACAGTTGCTTACAAGTATACCTAATCAAAACATTAAATGAAAAACGAGTCACGATTAATACTCCTATACATGTGTTTTGTTGAACACTTGAATAACCTCTAGGAAGTCATTATTAGTATATTTTGAAATTTAATTTTCAGACTTTGATATCCAACTACTACAACATTGTTCATTGGATATTTCCAGCGTTTTTTTTTTCTAATGGTCCTTGTGTTAATTCTGCTGCGTACAACACATGTTGTTTTCCTTTCAAGGGACCAAACGGGTCTAATTATATGTAACAATGTGGAGGATCGTTACATAAAAAGCATATTCATAACAGTCATTATGTTCTCATATCTAATGTCCTCTTAGTAGAAGCTGTTTCATGTATGTAAAAATTGATGAACCCTTTCCTGGATACAGTTTCATTATACAAATGCTTCCATTATAGTCAGTTTACTTAAACATGTTGAATATGATTATTGTTTGTTATTGTTTTTTATTTTTGCAGCCATGTTATCGGCTACGAACCTTAGTATGGCCTTGAAGATTAGTAGAACTGTTCTTTAGTAATCATAAACGTGTGATAAAACTGCAGATGAGTAAGAAAAACATTCAGAAAAAAAACACTATTTTTATTTTTTTATTATCGTTGTTTATTTACTTTTATCTTTCGTTAAAAGTTACAATATTTGTTCTTGAATCTCTTCGGCTTCCTTGTAAAAAATGAACATTTAAACTCACTAGCCCTTTCTTCCGATGCATCTTCTGTTTATGCATATATGGCCAGAACAGCAGTCAAGCATTGTATAACATTTTCTAGGCCAACATGGAGCTCTTTTTATACGACTAAAAGAAGACAAGCACGAAACCTCTTTCGAAATTATTAACATATATTTTATAAGCAATCAAATCCGGGCTCCAAAGTTATTGTGAAATTGCCTATTCTAGAGGTGGCGTGAATCAGATGTGGATATTAAAAAAATCCAAAGATCTTTTAGAGTACATACAATCTAAGAATCTCTCATCTTGCAATAGTATTAAAACCTTTGACTTTTCTACACTTTACACAAGTATTCCCAATTCCAAACTAAAAGACAAATTGAAAGTGTTGGTATTACTGTGTTTCATTAAAAAGAATGGCAAACGTAGATACAAGTATCATGTCTTGGGGAGGGATAAATCCTACTTTGTAAAGAATCAGTCTGATTCAAACAAAAAATTCTCTGAAACTGACATTATCAAGATGCTTGATTTCTTGATTGACAACATATTTGTTACGTTTGGAGGACGTGTTTTTCAACAGACTGTTGGAATTCCAATGGGAATCAATTATGCTCATCTACTTGTTTCTTTATCATAATGAGGCTGACTTCATACAGGAACTTCTTAGGAAGAAAGATACAAAGTTAGCAATATCCTTTAACTTTACGTTCCGCTATATAGATGATGTTCTCTCACTAAATAATACAAGATTTGGTGACTATGTTGAACGAATCTATCTCATCGAACTAGAAATAAAGGATACTACAGATACAGTTAAGTCTGCCTCATATCTTGACTTACATCTAGAAATTGAAAATGAGGGTCGGTTGAAAACAAAACTTTACGAGAAAAGATATGATGTCAGCTTCCCAATTGTGAACTTTCCATTTCTATGTAGCAACATGCCAGCAGCGCCTGCATACGGAGTATATATCTCCCAATTGATACGATATTCTCGGGCTTGTATTTCCTATCATGATTTCCTTGATAGAGGGTTGCTGCTCACAAGGAAGCTATTAAAACAAGAGTTCCAAATGGTGAAGTTGAAATCATCCCTTCGTAAATTTTACGGACGCCATCACAAGTTGGTTGACCGTTATGGAATAACCGTTTCACAGATGATATCGGATATGTTCCTTATGTCGTAACTACAATACCCTTCCCTTTTTACGAATGTGACCTACCGAATTAGACTATTTACCGGATTTGTAATAACATAAGGAACACGACGGGTGCCACATGTGGAGCAGGATCTTCTTACCCTTCCGGAGCACCTGAGATCACCCCCAGTTTTTGGTGGGGTTCGTGTTGCTTAGTCTGTAGTTTTCTATGTTGTGTCATCTGTACTATTATTTGTCTGTTTGTCTTTTTGTTTTTGGCCATGGCGTTGTCAGTTTGATTTCGATCTATGAGTTTGACTGTCCCTCTGGTATCTTCCGTCCCTCTTTCCTTCAATATACATCACCGTTGCATTTCTTATCATGTCCGTATATCATACCTTGTTCACCGAAAGTGTTGTGTTTGTTTTTAACAGTATATGGTTGGGCTCTTCCCGTTTGAAATTATTATACTTTAATTTATAATTCAACCAATATTGCTTTATAATTAATATTCTTTATGGAGATTTATTTTCCTAGATACATTGACTTTGAGTATTTCTAATAAAGTTAACTGGTATTAAACCGACTAACTAAAAAATTATTCGACTCTTAAATATTTAGAGTCAATTAATTTTATTAATATAACAAAACGGGACATAGGATGTAAATCGAACTTACTCATGAATGAGTCCATTGTCTTCCAACATTCATCATTTGCCATGTTGACTACAAGAAAAAAAATATTGTCCGTATTCTTATATCGTGACAAGGTTTTTCATGTTCGTCGTGCACCTAGAAACTCGGAAAATAAAGAGACTCTCCTGAGTTATGACCGGGAACACTAAATCATTTTTCGAATATGCCACATGTTCACTGTACACTGCAAACACAATCGTGTAAGTAAAACCCTTTCCACACGCACATACACATATATGCTTTGTTAACAGTAATTCATTATAACAAGTGTTTTCTTAGTTTGTTTTATATTGTTGGTTGTGGGTTGTCTGATTTATTATTTACGTATAGCATACATCTTACATATTGTGTATCGTGTTTCATCAAGTGAACACAAATATTTTGTTGAAATGTTAGAAAAGAAATTTAAAACAAACGTCTTACCTAGATCCATTTCAAATTACTAACACTAATAAAATATGATTCATAAAAAGTTAAAGCTTACGATACGGTATCATTTTGTAAGTATAGAAGGCTCCTGAAACTCTGATTTATTTCGAATTTGAGGAGCAGTTCCTCAGTTCAATTCCCCTGTTCGCTTTTCACCTCAACCCTTAGTTAAGAAGAAATTTAAATAACAATAAAGAAATGAAACGTAAAGGATTAAAGTTTTTTTTTATGTTTTTCTTACCTCCAACTGACATTAACAATAGACAGACGACTAAACAAACAGAAATCTTCATTCTTCTGTTTAATATTCTGCTAGACACTACAAAAGATATACAAATACGGTTAAGTATTATTTGTATGATAATAATTCGTTTGTAAGAATCCTTTGTCTTAGTTTTGACAATGAGCGAGCTGGTTGTAAATGACTCCAAAGAGTAGTTACAAGAACTTGGTATTGATGAGTTTGCATAGATATATTCAAACATTGTGTATAACGTTCTATAGTGTAGCTTGTTTTTTAAGATTTCTTCTTTTTTTGTGTGGATTTGCTTTTAAAATTTCATTGTCATCATATATTAAAGTCGAGAATTATTTGGTCGAACAATTGATTGGCAAATATTAGAATCAAATTCATCTACATCACAATTTTGGTAACAGTTCAAAAAGTGCTTGTATTAGTCGTTTGTATTCCATTGTGTCGTTATGAAAGACTGATTTTACACCTATTCATCAGAATTACTTGCCGCGAGATCAAGTTAAATGCTAAAAGTGGTTTACTGCAGTCTAAGAACGACATATAAGAAGGACAAAGAATGTCCTTATCGTTCGATATTATTTGTAGTTGTCAGATGTAGGTGGACCGAGCTGAAGAGCTAAAATATTTACGAAGTACATAAAGTTGGTGCCGAACATTTAATTAATTAAATTACTTATTTATACTGTGCAACTTTTATACCGTCGTAATACTGTTATATTTGTTGATGTACATGCTTTCATCCATGCATATACTATGTTAACATATATATGTCACAGTGAACCGGACATACACCAAATTATCGTGATGGCTAATATCAGACAGTGACTTTGATACCACTTTTATTAACTGCAAATACATATTTATTTCAACATATACAAATCTTTCAACAAATTCGGAAAACAATTACATTCATTCATAACCTAAATATAAAGCCACAAACAAAAAATGAGACAAGAACAGACGGACTAATGAATTCGACAAAGCACTTTAAAATTACGCCATGAATAATATCGCCAATAAAACAATTTATTGCTGTAATTCAGTAATTTGAACTTTACTATAAAACTATGTCACAAGTACGGAAAAGCCGTATTGTATCTTATTGTAGATTTTTATGATAAAACTATCATAATATTTCCATATAACATTTAATGAATGAAATTCTATCGAGAAACTGTAAATTAAACTTTTCAAATAACAAAATTAACTAACCTGCAAATATTGCTTTAGCATTTAAGCATCCACACAGTAAGGCAGTTATTCAGTTAATAAAATACTAAAAATTTATATATATAAGGCGTACATTTATTTTCCCGCGTGCGTGCAATTATATTTTATTCTATTTAAATCAGTCAGGTGTGTAGTGACGTGTATATGAAATTGTGCAGTGACGTGTATTAAAAATGTCGTCAGTCTCAGTCAAACGTCATAATGAGTTTGATGAAACAGAAAATGGAATGAATGAAATAAATAAATGAACTGATGAATGACAAATCAACATTTAATTATACGCATAAATACGACGGTGACATATACTTGATGTAAAAATAATAATGAATGTTAGGGACGTTATACATCTTGATTGAAAAACGGAATCTTCATTTTGTTAAAAATGTGTCACCTGAATTCGTATTGTTTAAAAATAACAAATTTGTGTTTTATTCTTATTATAATATGAAAAAAAAATGTACTTACATAAGCAAATGGAACTGTTACTGTATGCAAGTTTTATTAAGACATTACGTTTGTATTAGATCTTTTATACATAATTGTGACGGAAATGAAATCTGAGAAATACAAATCATTTGTTAAAGTATTTAGCGGTTGTACCTTCTTGTATGAATAATGGACTATACATTATTTCCCTATTGGTTAACCAAATACATCCTTTTGTAACATGCAGAGATACTATCTCAACTTATTAAAGTAGTGAGGATGTCAAAAATACTTTTTATTACATAGACGCACGACAGAGGTACGACATCATGGCAATTAGAAAAACAAAAGTATTTACATAAAGGCAACCGGGAAAAAGTAACAACGTACATGCAATAAATTGGTTAACGTGATGACATAAAGTCGAACAGAAAACATCTTCATAAAAAAAGATGTGGTAAGAATGCAAATAAGACATTTATCCACCGATTAAAAACAATAATGTCATTACACAATTAACGTACATCATAATCATTTAATACAAATTCAAAGCAACTCCTGTATGGTTCAGCCAACAGTTATCTGAGGTAGTCCTGTTAAAAAAATAGAATTAAGGACTTTTTGTTTTGAAGATATGCCGCCTTTTACTTACATCTTTTATACATAAATAAACGCAATAAAACATGTCAAATGCTTTGCAAGTATTTTCATTACTTTGTACCTTTGTCAAATTTCCGTAAAGCTTTCCTATTTTTTGCAAGCAATTGCGTATGTTAAAATTTATATTTAAAACTTGCCATTCTTAGATAAACATATCCAAATACTATGCAAGTAGTTATTTCAAAGTGACATTTAAGTCAAATAAGTGTAAAGTTTTCCATTTATTTGCATGCATTTGAAATGTTTGCAAGTGTAATATGTTTACGCCCTTAAATTACAAGTTTTAT